TTTGTGTGGCTTGTCTCTATGCTTTTATTGTTTTTATCTTTTTTTTTTCAAGTTTCTGTAATTATTGTGCTACTAACATCTATTATCTTTTCTCTAATTCTTGAAACTTGAACATTTGATCATCTTATAGTCATTGCACTTTATTTTGTTTATTTTCTTTGGAACTACATGATACAGATAATTTTGGTGCAGTTATTATTGAGCTATTCGCTCCACAAACTTACTAATTGTACTTACACATTAGCTACTTTATATTTACATTTCTATAGTTGTTTACATTTATTGTTTTATTTATTATTCAGTTTTATTATTTACTTTTCAGCAATTAATTTGTCCTTAGGGGTTCCAGTAGCAATTCTCGTACTACTTGAATCTCAAGTTTATTGTTTCAATAGCTGGTCATTTTCTTACCTATTGCCTCCTTCATTTCCAACTACCAAATTAGGAAACACATTGTGTAGTTGCCATATTTACTTTTTGGTTATTTACTTTCATCTGGCTTTACATTTTATAGTTACATTCATTTATAATTCATTCTTTATATTAATTGCAAATCCAATAACATTCATAGAAAGACATTTACTTTCTTATTATATTTACTTTTAGCTACTATTTACATTCAAGCAATTACTTCCACATATTGTTTCATATCTATTTAACTACTAACATATTTAAAGTAGCTCATTTATTTCATTATTTCATTTATTTAAGCTACTATTTATTTCTAATAATTACCGTTTATTTTTGCTCTATATTTTGTTTAATTCCTTATCCTTACAACTCTTGAGTATGTTCATTAGTGAAATGGCTTCTACTATTCAATAGAGGTAGCCAATATAATCAAGGTTTTTAAAACTGAATTGGACAACGAATCGATCGAGGGTCTGCTTCCCGGGTCGAATGGTTCGACCATTCAAACCGAATAAATGACTTGTTTTGACAAAAAAATAAAAAATGGCCAAACCATTGGACGGTTTTCGACCGCTGACCAAATCAATTGTTTTTGGCCAAATAACGATTTTGAAGTAAAATGGAACCGGTCACAGTTTTTCTGGTCCGACCGTCCGATCCGGTCCGATTTTGAAAACCATGGATATAATGACTAATAGTCATGATGAGAAACAATCCAATGTTATATCTTTGAGCAATAAATCAAAAAAATAAGAAGAAATAACGAATCAATATCTATCTTGGAAGGAATTGTGATGGCCAGCTAAAACAATGACCAATGCATGTTCTATTGATCTACCAAGGACTGGAGATTCGTCAAATATATCCCACAATAATGTAAAGTTTGAAAAAACCTTGCATAAATGCATTATGGACTAAGAGAGAGAGAGAGAACCAAACTTATTCTTGAATCTTGAGTGGCTGTTGTGCATTTGGGCTTGGGTGGCAACAAGTCAACAACTAGCAATAAGAGAATCCCAAAGTCATCATAGTGAAAAGTGCAAAATCACACATGAAGAAAACCACCACGATGGTCGATGGACCGGTGGTTTCTGGGTTGGTGAAGACTAATAGCAGCCACTAGACATTAGAAGAAGGAGAACGATGAAGAAAAATCATAGTCCAGCATCTCACATTCACAATTTCATTAGTGGTTTACTGGTTTTTGCTTAGACAAAGAAGAACTCTTTCGTGCAACTCTTGGAGTCTTCGCTATGGGAGTAAAAGTTGAATGGACGTTAGACTTTGGATGAAAGAGATAAAGAAAGAAAAAGGGAAAAGGTTTGTAAAAGAAAATAATACCTAAGTCTAAAACCCACCAAAAACTATTCTAAAGTATTAGGATTAGGGCTATTCAATGGACATTTTTATTAAAAAGGATGGAGGACTTGCCATAATATACTTCTTGTTTGGACCAGAGACAATGGAGATCAAGAGTCTCCTTGGCATATGAGAACTTTGAGGGGGAATTCCTCTCAAAACTGATTGAGCTTGAAGGAATTCAAACAAAAAAAAAAGGCATATGATCAGCTAAAAATAAGTGATTGACCTTGAAGGAATTCCTCTCAAAACTGAGGTCTTTCAAGTGACCCACATCCATCTAGAGAGGAAGCAACCATATTGATAATGCAAGGCATGTATATTCAAATCGTAATTGATGTTGGGACTTCAACCATATCCTAGCAATTTTTTTTTTAACCAAAATCCCAAACTTAAGTTTACGGGACACCCGATTTGAAGAGCTTACACAACATAAGGCCCTTGGGCCGGATCCAGATCCATTCAAATTTTAACAAATCTTCCCGCCCAAGTTGCACCTCTGCTCAGAGAGAGAGAGAGAAAGAATCTTCTTACTGAATAAGCAATTTTTTGGTAGAAAGTGCAACTTGGGTAGGTCAGGTCTGGGCTACAGAAAATCCAATCCCCACACTACAAGTCGAATAATAAACTTCAGGTTCAGCCCAACCCATATTGCAATTTTTAACCTTCGCAGTTATCACAGCTCCATGTTGGTTTAATTTGTTCAGGTTTCAATTGTTTAGCCTAAAAGCAGCTTTAGTAACGCAAATTGAATTCTGAGCATCTCAATGACTATGGCAAGCCATAGACAATAGCTAATATTAGGAATGTTGTTCAAACTTAAAACAACAAATGTAAGGAAAACAATGTGATTATTGAGTTTGGCTCAGGCCCACATTCTTGAGCCCAACTCATGTTAGGCTTGTGTGTTACAGTACAGCACTGGGCTTATGTTGAATCGAGCTGACTGTGTGAGCTGTGGCATCAAAAAGAGCCCAACTCATGCCCACGTTCTTGAGTTTGGCTCTTGGGTTAATCTCATAGCTGCTTATACTTTTGTTACTAAAACTGCCCCTCTTGTATTTAATAAATTTACTACTTGTTAAGCTCCATTTAGGAGTACAGATATAAATATGTAGAGTGCAAAACCTTGCATTTTGTATTATTTTGTATGTAATTGCACTGTACATATTTGTATTTGTACTCCATCCAAACTGAGCCTTAGCTACTTTAATAAGAGAATATGACTGAAACAAATCAAAGTGGCAAGAAATTCCTTGGGACTGTTTCATCAGATGGACATTTTCTTCTGCTCTTTTGTCCGTCTGTGTATCCTGCTCCAGGCCTCTGCTCCCTAGCTCTTCCTAAGTTCATCACTATGCTTCACAAAGTGATCGGACACTAATTCAGGTTGACAATTTTACATCATTAATAGATTTTCCAAGTTTTGTTCTTAAATGCGTACTAAGGAATGGAAGTTTGTGTCCTCGGGTCGTGCCTGTATATGCAGCCATAAGTGCCGATTTAGGTCTTCAATTAGTGTGCAACTTGGGTTGAGTAAGGTCAGTTTGAAGATGGAGTTAAGGTTGAAAAATATGAACCCAACTTAACTTTGGATTGGGTTAGGGTTGAGGTTTTGGACAATCTGACCCAATCCGAACCTGACATGTCTTTTTATTTGTATATATAAATATTATATAAATATGAATGCGTCAACAACTTTAAATTTTAATGAATCTGATAAGTACCATTACTTTCTCCTTACACATATAATAATGTCAACCATTGAACGTTAATCAGTTAATCTTAAGTCCAATAAATAAAAAACATTATAGGCAGCAAAAATTAAATGGAAGAAACCCCGCTAACTTGAACCCTAATTAAAGCCCAATCCAACCCAAAATGGAGTTAGGATTCAAGGTTCAACTCGACCTAACTGACTTGCACCCCTGTCCCCTGGCTTTCAGGTTGCTGCTTTTGGCTTTACAAGATGAAACCTAAGCCAAAAATCTTAATAAACAATGCTTGTTAAAAAATTCCAAGAGCCCAACTGATTATTTTTTAGCTACCCATGTGGCTATATTAGTAGCATCTCCAAAGCAGCGGAGATATCAGCTAAAGCAACAAAGGCAACTGAACGGTGGCACTCATCAGTTCTGGGCCTTCTAACTCCTACCTCCTGTTGCACTGCTCATCAGCCTCCAATTTGATTTTCATGCTACTTGACTTGTGGATGGTTGGTGGTCCTGGTGGAATCCCTTTGTGAAACACCAGGAAACCAAAGGAGTCGTTGACCACTGACCAGTCCACAATACAGAAGATCAATGCGATGGTATTGGTCGTGGGACCCATGATTTGCCACAGGTCCCACATTTAGAAGATAGGTCCCACGGCCACCACAAAAATTCATCCCAAACCCAAAGAATAATCCCAGTCCCAAGCGTGTCGTGTGCTTTCGCCATCAATGTTTGGTGACTTTGGTCTGAGTATCAAAATAATCAGATGATTGAAAATTATATAGTAATCATGATGATTTCGCTGTGGGGCCCTTTCAATGGTGGTCCCTAATCCATGACAGATATCCAAGACATGACAAGTCGTAGGACTCACTCACAGTCACAGCACAGGCACAGCCCACAGGTAGCTCAGAGAGCCCGGACCACATTTATAGGTTGTGTGGCCCCAGACCCCCAGACAGTCCCCACTCCCAAACTAAACTCCCCCCTCCCATTTGATAATGGGGTAGATGGAAGGACGTGGAATTCCTATCTTCTTTTTTGCAAAGCAATCCACCACCACCAGGCCCCAGGACCCCAATTTTTTGGTTCAATCAGATAAAGGAAACATTCTCAGAAAAGGGGAAGAAATGAGTCAACATACCAAATGCCTAAAAGAATAGGCTGAATGGCAAATCGAGAATCCTCTGTACTACTTTTCCCCCCATAGAGTCAGCATCATATCTTTGAATATGCGGCAATTCTGCTCCTTTCAATCGACTCCCAACACAGTCACAGTAAACAATTGGGGACCATCGTCCATAATAATATGTGGCTTCTAGTGTAGTCTATGTCCATCCATATAATACTACTCTCTACTCATCAAAGAGTGAGTGGGTGGGCACCCCTGACACAATCACATAAGTTAAACTACTTTGTCACTACTTGTATTGTTTCCTTTTCATTAATTTATGTACCTACTCACTAATTGCTATATGATATACTTTGAAGTTTGAAAGGAGAGAGAGAGAGAAAGAGAGGGGAAAAGAGACTGCTCACCAGTCACCTCGGATAAGAGTAAGAGTTCATGTAACAAGTAGACAAGTGCTATCAATTCAATAAAAAGAAAAGGTAACAAAAAAGAAGAAAATTAGAAAACAGAAAAAGTGGGAATCCAGAGAACTGCCCTCTTACCCTTTACTCCAAGTAAAATGTCTTCAATCAAAAGTCAATCCCCTTTTTCGCCGCTCTTTACATTTTGGCCCCAAACTCATCTTGCAGTTTGCAGCCCACTCCTTTCTCTCTGCAAGTGCCTTTTCTTTTTAAAGAATACAGAGCCCCTCTCTCTCTCTCTCTCTCTCTCTCTCTCTACTTTACTGTTCCTGTCGGCTTGCTTGCCACTTTCTTCTTAATGTTAGCGCTCTGTTGATGCTCTTCCTTTCCCACCACCCTTGCACCACTATTACTACTAATGTTACCATTACATTCCTGCCTTGGGCCTTTTCCATCTAATTTGCTTTTGGGTGAGGCATTGCTGTTGCCATTGGACTTCTCCAACCCGTTTTCATTCTCTACCTGGGTTGGTGTCTCCACTGCAATGCTGGATTCAGTTGCAGTTGCTGGCTGTTGTGCTTGTGGGGGTGGAGAAGGGCCAGAACCTGGGGGAGGAAGGAAAACTCCAGTGCCAGGAACAGGGAGTCGAGGTGGAGGATGCCTCGGTGGAGGAACGGCTGGCCATCCCGCTGATGCTGGTGGGAGTGGAACTGGTGCTGTTGGATAAGGCACCGGTGCTGCCACTGGAGCAGTCACAAACAGTGGCTGCATACCATTGGGAGGGGGTAGGTGTTGAGCACGGATGGGTGGTGCTGGCAATACTCCGGTTGTGGGGACTGCTCCATAATGCTTAGGACCCGCAGGATGCCGAACATGATGACCCAATGGCCTACTAGGTGGTGGGCCCCAGGGAGAGGGTGGTCCTGCGGTTGACGGTGCACGCAAGCTTTCATTGGACGTGCTTTTCTTTGGTTGTGACTTTGTGAAGGTTACAAGTATGCGCTGCTTTCGGATGGAAGGGATTGCATGCTTGGCAAAATCCGCACTTTTACCTTGCATCGTTAGCACAGATCTGTGTATGTGCAATGAGAAAATATCATATCAGATAAGTAGCAGAAGACCATCGAACATATATCTGGATTACATGCACCACATTCATTCAGCCCAAAATAAAATTAGTCATACAGCTTAAAGAAAAGAAACTCGAGTTAATAAATCACCGACTTGCCAAATCATTCTCATATGCAACATTAAACCCTGTTTGAAAGCCACTCTACATTCATAAGAAAAAGAAAAAGTTCTAGTATTTGGACCAGCTTCTGCAGAGACATTTTGAACCAAATAGGCTTCAAAGTGGCCTTACTGGTTTTGCTTACCAGGTATATTTCCATCAAGGAGAAAAAAAAAGTACATCCATTCGCAATATCCTTTCCAATGAATTACAGGATTGAACTAACATAGCACACAGATTCATTTGAATGTATAACCCGATACTCCTAGGTTGTTTGACTCTTTTCAGCAAATACAAAAGCCTGAAATCATGCAGCTGATAACTATGGTCAAAAGTCAAAAGGCTCAAGATGCAGTGAGTTTTAAGTATACCTATTTTATCCACACATTTGAACAAGCACCTGGAGATGTTGAGGCAGGGAGAAATATATTTGGTATACAAATCTTATTATACTTTCTATAGGACACTGAAAGTTCTAATAATCCTAAATTAGCTATTCTTAATGCTCCCCAGCAATAATTGTTGGATGCTGGAACTCCTACTCTCCAAAATGAAAGCGTGTGAATTAATTCAACACATCGTGCATCATGCTCCAATGAAAAGTGCATTCAAATCCCCGTATTTAATGTGGCTATGTAGATATTATAAGGCATGAATGGTAAAGGATACCAAGCTCTCAAATTTTTAAACAAAGATTAGAAGCAGAGAAACCATGCTTAGGTTCAATTTTATATGTGGTTAAATCTCAAGCAGCAATGGCATCACAATTAAAATCCTATTGATCAAGCATGATGCAGGTAAATGGCAAATCTAGTAAGTACCATTGCCTCTTCCAAGTTGATCAAGCAACCATAACCTATAACCAATGCAAAGCAGCTAATAAATAAAGAAAGCTTAGAAGTACTTACCCTGCTGCAAGGGAAAGGTTGAGAGAGCCTCTGTAATCCCCAGGGTGGTCCACTCCAATTACTCTGCCGAAAGTCATGTTGCATTCTGTTAAGAACAGAACAGAAACAGGCCTTCCAAACCAAGGTGGAAATGTGTGAGGTTGCGAGTGATCCCCCTACACAAAAAAATGCCACAAAATTAGGCTTGCCATGGTAAATAGATTTTCCCCTCTACTACCTTATTGTGGTAGAAACAGGATCTAACCTCGTTAAAGAAATCAATAATGCAAGAATCTGCTTTTGTAGTCATAACTTGCAAGTGAACCAGGTTATCTATAACATCTTGAAGCAACCCAGGGATGGGTTCCATCTTCTTATCTGCACAAATTTATTTATGGCCCAAAACATTGGTATTTAAAAGGGGAAATCGTCAAGAATTTGTAGATTAAAAATAATTACAGAAACAGCTAATTGAAGCATAACATGCCTTTGGAGGACCCAGCCGTACTTTCATCTTCTGGAGGTGCATCAGCAATGGGGAGACCCAATTGAATCATTTCTCTTCCATGCCCTTTCATTGGTCTCTTCAAGACCACAAATGTCTGTCCTGCTTTTCATATCATTAAGATTACTCAATACTTATTTGTAAATTACCAAAAAGAAAATTTTATTTGAAGTACAAGATATCTACAAAAAACAATGTCAAGGATGTTCCAATATAATGCTAATGGGAGAGTACAGAAAAAAAATAAGATACACACCCATGTCAAAAAATGTCAAACATTACAGTAACAATAAGAATAACTTTAACATAAAAGCTGAATTGAAAGAAACAAACCAATAACACAATCAGATAAAGCCATTGCCAATGTTGATCCCAGAAATCTGGGGTCTTGAGAGGGGTTGACTGGGATAAAGCACCTTGTGCATATAGTTCTTAATGAGCAAAACACCATATTGGGCCTAAGCCACCTTCCCTTTGGCACAAAAAAGAGATATTTATTAAATTCTACATGATACATAAAAGAACCCCCCCCCCCCATTCTTTCTATTATGAATATTAAGTCCCCACATAACAAACAGAAAGGGAATCAGTACAATTAAACAGCCAAAGGCTGAACACCAAGTCAACAAAACTAAAGCCAACAACAGATTCTAAGCATTTGCAAAAAGTTTTATTTTTGGAAAGGTAAGATAAAATTTTATTAGAAACAGCAAGCAAATAGTACAACAGCTCCCTAGCCACACTGAGATTGGCTAGGAAAGCAGATCAAGTTACAAACTCCAAAAGGATTGGGATCTTAACAACTCAGGCACATTCAGGTTTTTGAACTCAGATTTTACAGAGACCCAGGATATCAATTTACTAACTGCACAATGTATTAAGTCCTCTGGGCACTTCTCTTTGTTACAGAAGATTCTATTGTTTCTTTCAGTCCAGATTGACCAAAGAACAGCTGCAGGAACAGATCTCTAGACTAGCTTTCCTCTTTTCTTCAGCCCTTGGATTTTCCAGCAGCACAGTAAGTCTTTGACTGAGCTCGGCATTACCCAACTGATCCCAACATCTTTAAAGAAGTGATCCCACACCTTGGAAGTGATAGAACAGTGGATACTCAGATGATCTGTAGCTTCAGGCACTAAGCCACAGAGGCCACAAGACAGATCCAAGAGCTGCAGGCCTGTTCTCTCCAAACTTGTTCTAGTGAGACACTTATCTAAAGCCATAGCCCATAGTCCAAACCAGAAAATTCATTTTTGAAGGAGATATGGGATTCCAAATCTTCTTGCTAGGGAAATCCGAAAGACCAGATCTGCTTAGCTTTGAAAGGACCTCACTTGTAAACACCCATCACCACTCCACTTCCAACACCACTCATCTTCCTTACTGATATCAATTTCCTGCCTCTGTAAAAGGCTCAGCAACTCCAAAACTTCACCAAACTGAATAAACACCACTCATCTTCCTTACTTTCTGTAAAAGGCTAAAAGCATTTGCAGAAAGTTGCTCCTTGTGGCTGAAAATTTCTTTGCTAACTAGAATTAACTTGAAAAGCTTTTTCATATTTTATATGCAACTTATATTTATCCCCAAAGTCCTTGTGGTCCACAAAAATTGAAAGACAAAGGTCTATGTATTTTTCAACAGTCTGGGTTATTAAACTGAAGTCAATTTCCTTATCCAAATATCCAAGTTGTTGGAAGCAAGTAACAGTTCCAAATACCACAAGGATACATGTCAAATACTAAAGCAAAATTTCCCAGAATCCTCATTGGTTATCACCATCTCTCAAGAAAGTTTATCCTGAGAATCATCATGGAGAGAGAATTTTTCACTGCAGCCACTGTAATTCTCCAAGCTTTAAATTCACTTTCCTATGTTTCAAACTCAGACTTCAACCAACAAAGGCCACACAGATAAGGATTAACTACGAGTTCAAGGAGACTAAGCCCATGGATCAGCAAAAGTTTAAGAATTACATGGTATTATGAGTTCCCAGATTTAAATTCCTGTTGGCTAGCTTGGAAGCCTGCCCCACCAATGCCTCCTGGTTCATGTGTTCACTGACTTGCCAACAATCACAAATGGGCCCCCCAATGTTGCTCCTAGCTTAAATATATTTCAGAAGAAGGTACAAAGCTAGCCAAGTTTTTATGAAATGACTATATTTTTATCTAACACACTGAAACAAAGCTTCCAAGAGGAAGAAAGAGAGCAAAAAATAAACATCCTAAAGAGATTACCTGGCCATTTTGTTTTGCCAACCTATTATCTATGCATAACATGCTAGGATTTTCCTGTTTCTTCCCTCTTGGTTTTATTAGGGTCAAGAATAAGGCTGTGCACGTCTGTGTACTGTTGCACCTTCATTTTACTTGATGAAATGCATGTTTCCATTGCTGATAGAAAATTACTTTGGGAATCTAATTGACAGAAATATTTTCTAGATTCTATCAAAGTAATTAATAATTTAATGTTTTAATAGTATTTTTTATATCCAATGCATCATGTTTCCCTACTCATCTCAATTTATTATCAGGAAAAATTGCCAAGTATACTCGACTCAACAGACTCTTATCCCAAATTCCCAACTACATGGGCTTGGCCATACAACCACACAAATCCAATTTCACCATTCCACTTTATCAAGGGCAAGCATCTAAACTGGAAATAATGTTTGTACCTTTAGTGATCACGACAAAAACAGTCAGATTTTGCTAGCCTATGCAGAAAGAGGTGTCCTCTTGGCACTATGTTAATTATACAACATCTGGACAAGAGAACAATTAGGGTTATTTCAGCAACATTTTCATGACCATCTGTGAACTTGGAATAACTTCTTGAGCAGTTATACAAATCCACTTCACCATTCCACTGTATCAATGGACATATCCTCTATTAACCTGTGAGCCTTCAAATTATTCTCACCACCTCAATAGATTTCCTTTTTGGTTTGCACCTATCTCTTTTAGAACTATCATCTTGTATGAGATTTATTTATACAAAATCATAAAGACTGATCCATTTACTTGAAATTTAAGTCTAATAATATGTAAAAAGTCTATGAAAAGGAAGTATGTACAAAGAAAGAGATCTTCATAGTCAACTAAATTTCTTTCCATGGAGATCTTCATTCTGCAAGTGATTTAAAAAGGTTGCCTGCAATGCTAATTGCTACGAACTCAACTGAGGTAATACGGTTTGACATTGACCAGTGAAATGTTAATCAACACTATTCAGTAAGATCCTTTTATTTTGAATGGGCCATCCCATGTGTTCAGATCTGCTGACCACAACACATTGCTGGCCACGCTCACCCAGCCACACACATGGAACATCGGTTGTGTTGTGGTCAGCAGATCTAACTCCATTCCCATATGAGTTTTCCTTCATCAAATAAGGAATGAATTATGAAAATATGTCATGAACTGTCTCTGTTTGCGTGACCACAAAACATTAAACATCTATGACCAGCACTTCACTTAAGGTAGAAATGTACCAACCCAGTTGCATTCATGTTGTACCAGGTAAAAGAGGAACCTTGTTTCCAGGGAAAATAGGCAGTATCTAAGTGTTAATCACCTTAGCTCCGTATGTCTTTCCATTGAATTATCTTTTTTCTTTGTTTTTTAAATCCCATATTCTAGATATTTTCCTTTATCAATGATGGAAATGTTACAAAGGTCACAGTGGCATGGGCTAAGTAAGATCAACAAAGTGGGCTCATTGAAATATAATCATATGAAGAGGGAATTGCAATGACATTATTAGAGATAGTAGTTCAATTCAGGTGGATTCCAAGGTCACAGCTAACCAGTTAGCTGATGATTTGGAAAAATCAGGGGCACATCATTTTATTTCCATTTTACTTCTCTCCAAACAAACAAAGTGAAATCTGAAGCGATGTGAACAAAGATTTTACTTATCTTCGTTGATAAAAAAAAAATGAAGATTTTACTCCTCTTCATTTTACCTCCTAAAAATTTTACCTGGTATATATGAAGTTTACACTTGAAACAAACAGAGCCTTAGCAATAGATACACAACCAAGAGAAAGTTACATAACTCATATTTCCTTTAGAAATCAAACCAAAGAATAGTAAATCAAACGCAAAGAACAGGAGCCAAAAAATTATTGATAAAAAAAAAAACAGGAGCCAAAAAATGCATATAATGGGTTTATACTTTATGCCTTAAGAGACAAATGCAGAATAGAATATTTTAGAATACAGACAAAAGAAAAAAAAAATAGGGTTGAACATGCTAAACCACATCCAGCCTCATTCCCTCCTAGGAAGCTAGATAATGAGAAATCTAGGAGGAATATAGTAAAAAGGTTAAATAACTTCATATGTACAATACATGCCCTCTGTTTCAAGTCTAAAATGAGAGGTACAATTAACAATTTCTTTCCATATGCTACTTGATATATGACTGTTGAGGTGCCTATCCGTCCAGTCTCAATCATAGAGCATTTATTTGTATGTCAATTATTAGTTGGTGGCATCTTTAAAATGGCAATCAATTCTAATGTAAGTAATCAAATATGACAAAGACTGAATTGATCTTCCTCAACTCATATTTCTCATATTAAAGCACTAAAAGTTCTGCTGTTGTTGGATCCTTGGTTGTGAACATAGACCATCCGTATCATTGTATTAGTTGTCATTTGTCTCATTTGTGTGTTTCACCCTAGGGATGCTCTAGCTTAAGGCCTATAGTAGTATAATGGTGAAGAGATAAAAGTCTTATACTTCCCAAGGATAAGCAGGAATTTTCAGTGCTGTTACTCATAAAAAAAATGGATAAGCAGGAATTTTCTTGGAACATAAAATTATGCAACAGAATAGAAGTTATTTGTGACACAAAAGAAGAATACTTTTTTTTATCCCCTAAATTTACTCCCAGTGGAGGGGAGCCTCTGTTAATTTTATTATATGGCATCGAAAGAAGAATAACTTAGAAATAAAAGGGAAGTAACCAAATGGACTTGCCTTGAAACTGTCCTTTTCGCCCGGCAGTCCTCAACTCATTGACTAATAACAAAAGCTTTGAAATCTCTGATCCATCAAAAAGGTCTTCATACAATTTTAGCCCCTCAACAACATTAACCTATACAGGAAATTTTCATGCATTCTGAGAGTAGATTACACAAAAGAAAAAATAAATTAAATAAAATCAAATAAAACATTCATGATTTCTTTCAAAACAATTATCACCAGATTTGAAACTACAAGACTTCACTAGTAGCAGTAAAAGAATTCATACCACATTTCCATCAAATATCTCAGTACCCACAAAAGTTTTGGGAATGGGAACCTGGATGGTATCTGTAGCACCCTTTTGAAGGGCATTAGAAGTACCTGATGTAAATGAAAAACAAATCAGGTATTAAAACCACATGCCTTCATGTTTTTCATGAGAGTTTAGGTAAACTTTCTAAAAGGGCACAGGTTTTTATATATTTTCACAGTCTAATGCCCAAACTAGAAAGTAATTTCTCCAATATGGGAAATAATATGAAGTCATGAAATACTCTCTTTATCAGTAAAGTGATCCTTGTCCTGGTTCAGAAAACCTTTGTAAATGTTGGCAAGCATACCTTTCGAGATACATCCATCATCCACTACCTCAATTTCCAAGTTCTCATGTTCACTTCTTTCTGGATTTTCTGAATTCTTTAAGCCGCTACCAGAATGAGATTTTTCAACACTATCCCCTCCTGCACCCAAGGAAAACCAATCAGTGATTAAGTCTAAACTTTTTGCTCAGAGTGTTGATGCATATACATTTTCTTGACAACATGTCATCCCCATTTATAGAAATATCACACACTGTTAGTCTGCTTAATCATTTTTAGTTGTCTGATTGAATGTGAATTGAATCAAAGTTAATCATGCTTGCATAAGGATTTTACAGGATAGAAACTAACGATTTATAAGGGGGATCTCATGTGTGATAAAGATGCAAACATAAATTTAGGCCTTGGTCATAGTCAGACAAATAGTGCAAGACAGAGGAGCTTAAAAAAATCTAGATGCTAAAACCCTCGTAGGCATGGTGTACTGTAAAAGTGGCATGTTTGGGACCTGTCTCCACAGCTTTGATAAGATAAGGTGTATAAACTACTTTTGTATCATATGTAATGAACTTGTTTGATCCTATTGCCAATAAAAAATGTACAAGCAGCATTCTTTTGCTTAGTGTCAATTTTATAGAACATAACATAGATGTAGAAATTCTACTGGATTATTAGCAACTAATAATTAACTGAAGTTACAGCTCTGTTGAGTAAAATTATAAGCTGTTCCAATATTTTCTTTCCTTTTTCACTCCTATTAGTTAAAGTGAAACATCCATCAACTAATAATTATAAGAAAATATCCATCATTTTACATAGATTTCACATGATTTTACTGTATATGACAAGCTCTAAACCCTTATTCAACATAAAATTTATTGTCACTATGACAAAATTTCCAAAATTAATAACAGGTAAGCCCCTTAATCTAAAAAAACACCACAGCAAGCTAAGCATCCCTGTTATCTTCCAATCCCACCAATCAGCTCTTTATAGTAATTTTATGGTCATGATGCAGGATTCGAACATGCAGAAAAGCTAAAGACAATTAACGAATATATGCAAGAAGTTAATTTGCTGGACCATGGCATTAAAGAATCAATCTTTTCATAATTGAACGGCTTCCCTGCAAACTTAAGTACCGCATACAAGAGTTCAAAGGTGGATCCGTTTATATTTGGGATAAACATCCTACCGAGATGGACAACAGATTTATGCAAATAACTTTTACCTTCTCTCTCCTCACCAAGAGCAGATCCTTTATCATCTGATCTTTCAACCTTCGCCCCCTGCTTCACTGCTTCACCTTTTTCTGGTTCTTCTTCGGTTTTCTCTGACTCCATATTGACTGGTTGAGGAGAAGTGTTAGCATCAAGATAATGGGTCTCCGAATTCGATTTATGATTTTCCTTTACATTCTCAGCCCTATGCCCCTGTCTGGATCCAATACCCTGTGGACCATTTTTCTTAAAATCCTTCTCCGTGATTTTCATTTGATCGAAATGTCGCTGTTGTTTCCTCCATGCCACCTGTTGTAATGCGTACATGACTTCAGCGATCGAGAAGTACTGTTGCATATGAAGCACTGGATTCCAGTTACACCGCCGCTGCTGGATGCAACTAATAACAACATCATACTCTCTCGGCTCGCCGATAGACCTCAGATGATGGCATAGAGAATCAATAATGGCATTCGCAGCTGCAAATTCCCCTCTTAACCACGAGATAAACCCATCGCGCTCGTCCGGGAACCACTGTCGGTGGTGCACCTCACCGCTGCCAGCACCACCACCGCCGCTCGGAAACTGCATTTTATCTGAGATCACCACATTTCCCGATGGCATTGCCATGAAATTCTACTATCTTGATCCCATCAAAACATACTCAAACAGTTCAAATTTTAGATCTATCCACTCCTATACACAATCAGCTAAAAACCAGCACAGTATTCGATGATCACCAGATCAACAATATAACAGAATCCGTACATAAACCAACAAAGATCAAACTATTTACAAACACAGCCGTCTGCGAATTATACCGTAACAACACAACTTAACCTTCAAGGAAACCAAGAAACAGCACCTCCGACCTACAGTACAGTACAATCTAAGCCTCCTTAAACAATTATAATTACCGATCACCGCAATAAATTACTCAAATTAAACTAAAGCTACAATAATTAAAACCAAACTCAAGATAATCCGAAAAATCCGGCTGTTTCATTAACTGATCTGCATTAAAAGTTTCAGAGACGAGACTCAGCCGAAGATCCAGTAAGAAACAAGCAGGAATCCGGAGATTTCCTCATTGAAAGACGAGAATGCAGCGCCAATAAACCGTCGGTTCGGAGGTGAATTCACCAGATCTGAACCGACCGCAATGGCGATTGCGAGATTGAATTTATGCAGATATCGACAATTCGAGTGTAGAAATGGGAGCTCGTGGAAGATCTAGGGTTTTCAGGAGGAGATGAGAGGGAGGAGGAGGAGGAAGAGAGACTGGCTTGTCAGGCACGCATCTGGACTTAAATGGACGCGCTCGTTGTTCAGGAGCAGTATGGCACTGTGGATCGAATCGAACCAGGAGGGAAGATTCTTCTAGTTACAGGGGCAGTTTTGGTATTCCGACGAGCTCCCGAGTAACGATGTCTTCATTGTCTCGTACGTAGAGCTTCAGCTACGGGATTGCGATTTACGATCTGGATTTTGATGGGTGATCGGTGATAGGCGGTTAGCAGCCGGTTGCCGGTCAGAACTTACTTACCACGCGCCACAAAGGAGTGTTTGGTAACAGAGTCGGGTCAAATCACAATGATGCTGGCGCAAGTTTATTAGTAATTATAATAAATTGAAGGGGACAGTTAATCAGGTCCGGCAGGCTCCTCTGCGTGACCCACGAATGTTATACACGGAATCTGACGTGGCGATCTGATGGGACCCCACGTGTTTCACGCCTTTCCCTGTTTCCTTTGTTCTCCTTGCAACAGGCACACATCATACACCACACATCAGACAGAGAGGGCCCCTGGAAAAAGTTCAAGATGGGTGGTGTAAGATGGAATATGTTACGGATTTTCAATTCCTAGGGGCCAACTGAATTGATTTGATTGAGGATGCGCTACTCATACGGTTACGGGAATGAAAGAAGAGATTGGAAATCCCCCGTTTGATAGATTGTCTGTATGGCCGGGTTCAATATTCCGTTGGTTTATGCTGGGAGTACGTGATCCATGGTTTGACAAGTACCTCCAATTGATCAATTCAGAGCACCAATTCATTGAGTATAAAATGTCAAATCACAAATAAGGCATTTTACAAGTTGAAGCACTAATAGGGGAATTAGGGATGAAAATAGATCAGATAAGACTTGAATTGGAATACATTCATTTGGTTTGTAGGAATCTGAATTAAAATCGGAATGGTTCATTTGCATAATCTATTTGGTTTAAATATGGGAATGGGAATTGAAATTAGTATTAGTGTCCATCGTTTTGTGAGTGGGTCCCATAATGATAGCTTATAAAATATGTTTCGTGAAAATCCCAGAAATACTTGTTTTATTTTATTGTTCTTAATTCATCCAAAAGATAGATTTTCTTGAGTAACTTGTTTTAGGCCCCGTTTCAAAGGGTTTTTAAGTTAATTGAGTCGCTTTAGAGAAGTTATCCAATATAGCTTCATTGCGTATGTGTTTGGTATAGATTATGATTATTAAACAAACGTTTGTATTTGATTTGTTTTCAAAATCGAGAAAATTAACATCGGCGAAACATTGAATAAATGTTCAACTAAGAAATGTTAAAATAAAGATTTTCCTAACAATTGATACACATATAAATTAAAATCAACTTTTGTGAATTCTATACATACGAAGAACATGATGAGAAAAATGCTGATTTGACGATGACATAGTGACATTTATCAAAATGCTTATACAAAACACCCATAAAACCAAACATACGCTACAAAGTTGATTTTTTGGCTTTTCATTTTTTTTTAAATATGGCTTCATGTATTTCCGATTTTCTCTATTCCCATAATGCCAAAATCTATTACACAAAAACCCTCCCTAGTGGGCTTTCAAAAGCTGGTAGTTAATTCAGCGTGTAAGTTCTTTAACTAGCTACAACTAAGACGGAGGATTGATTATTTCCTTTACCAAGGCTTTTATATAGTGGATGAATGGGGCCAGCAATGTGTTGCGATCAGCATATCTAGACTCCTATTTTATAGCCCAATTTGCTTGGTCAAATAAAAGAAAGAAGTAGTAGTAATAGCAATAGCAAAAAGTAGTGTTTGGATAAGTTTTATGATTTGATCTCTTTTAATGCATAAAGCCCTAATTTTAGGCTTTTTATTTTGGGGTTCAAAAGTTTGTTTGGCTTCAAATTATAATATTATAACTAGTGTAAGGGTACAATGTTATGCACATGTGCAAGTAAGACTCCACTTGAGAAGTGTACAAATACAAATATGATCAGTGCAAATACCTATATGTTGTCATTAACTTATTTTTCATTAACGGTGCGTATTTATATTTGCACTTTTCCAAATGAAGACTATAGGATAAATATATAAGTTAACATTATATGATCAAATTTAATTTTTATAACCTACACCCAAACCCAAAAACCTATCTCACCATATAGTATAGATGTTTATAAAAGCAACGTTTACCAAATGTTCAAAACACTTGTTGGCTGAAAAGAAAAATCTTATCCAACTAAAACTTCTAATATCTTTTGTTTTAACCTTTTAGGCCAATACTAATTACTAACCCCTTAGGTGTGGCTGCCCCAATCCTATATAGCCCATTTTATTTATTTATTACTTTTTTTTATAAATTTACTAGGGTTGTAAGTGAACCGAAATAACTTGTGAGCTATCCAGGCTCGCTTGCTAAATACTGAAACTCAACTCAAAGATAATCTAGTCAAGTCAAGCTTGATTCGAGTTAAATTCAAGCTTATATAATACCCGACTCGAGTAGCAAGTAAGCTTAAATGAGCTTCTAATAAAATATTATTTTTAATATATTTTGATAATACAATAAATATAAAATTAATATAAATAAATAAATAAATTTATAATCAAAATTAAGCTTGAGCTCAATCCACCCAAAACTCGACTCGTTTTGGCTCGATTACACCACTGTTTTCTACCAAAAAAGATTTGAATAATTTACATGGTCTGCACTCGAGCCCTCAGGTCAGGCCCATTACAATCCTCAACCCAAGCCCATCCAAGTTGTACCCCTACTAATTACTAACCCTTCATTATTCCATCCCCTCCACTAACATGTCATTTGGTGTATTGATATACTCATTTAATTTTTGTTTAAGCATCCATTTTATCCTTTTTGACACCTTACATATTCTTTAGACAAGAGTAGTCCATACTTCTTGGAACTCTCCCATGGGTTTAAGAAAAATATAATAAATAAAAGTTTGAGATTTATATATAAATAGGGTGCCTTTTGCAAATTTTGAAATACAAACATATTTTTTAGTGGGAAAACTAATCTTTTTTTTTTTTCATTTTTGTTAAAACTTAACTTTAGTAAAATTACCATGTCTATCTTGATTGTCTCCTCTGCTAACAAGCCCACTATAGTAGTCAAGGAAGGTATGAGTTATTAGGTAAAACCAGGGGTGGTATAAGTATTCCAATAAAACCTAAAACCGAAGTATAAAGTAATCTACCCAAAGATATTGAAATTTGAAAGTTTTTCTTTCTTTCTTTCTTTTGTGGGGTTTACTACCTATTTGAGAGAGCTCAAGCTTTGATTGAGCTGCATTGGAGAAGGTTCAATGAAAAACCCTATTTTTGGCCAAAAGACAGCTATTTTGGGCTTTTGGGTTTTCGCCAAACATAACGTATCAGCTATCCAGATGTGGCCCACCTCTAAAAGCCTTCCCAAATGGGCACTTAATGACATGACTTCTGGTTTTGCAAGGTACGCCTCATACAGACAACTTATAAGTCATCTTTGGTGAATACCTTGGAGAGACTAAAATGACTTTTTGAGAGCCACAAACATGACTTTCCAATGAAGCTTCTTTTTAGTGGCTTCTTTAAAGCAATTCAGCAAAAGTATCACAACCAATGCTTCAGCCCTCCCAAATGGGCCCTTAATCTTTTTTTTTTTTTGGCAGTCCTTATAATTTTCTTTAAGTCAAAGAATTCACTAATATAGTAATCATACTAATTAGTTCATTTTGATAATATATACTACTTGCAATGAAGATAAATGCTAGTTAATTTATTAATAACTATGAAAATTAAAGATGAGATTGGCTCCAATTCATAATTGCATCATCAAAAAATTAAGGTGGTGTTTGGTTCATTAATAGATTTATAATTAAGTTACCAAAAACAGTCATAATTTCTTTTCTTCATTTACTTAAGTTTACTTATCAATGTTTTTCTATAAATTTACTTTTCTACAGATGGCCAGTTGATATCAATAGCAAAGTCACTTCTCTATAGCAAACCTAATGCATAGTCTTTGGAAAGGTATGGTGAATCACCTAAGTATCCAACACAGTAAACTGTATCCCAGCCCAAATTTGTAGAAATGGGATAGCCGATCAAAACCATGCATCCATGACAACCGTATAGATCAGGCATATGTCTTTGTAGCGTGTTCACCTAATGTTTCCTCTCCACTGTAGGTATTTTGACTTTTCTAGTCAATAAATTTGACAAAAAAGAATAAGAAGATGATGATAATGATAATGGTGATGATGATGATGGCGATGATGATAAACTATTTGTTTGCTTAAGATAGCCTTCTATTGTCACATGGCTTGCCAATAAAGAACGGTTGGTGTTGGAAATCCAGCACTTGTATTCTATGGCGTTCAACTTGGTTGAGTAGAACTCTACACAATTTGCACACCTGGCTAAAAATAGACAAGATGAACACGGATCTAGATGACCCATCAGTACAACCTTTTGTTCTACTCTCCTAGAAATTTGGCTTAGTTTGTTTGCAGTGTGAATTTCATTTGCATTGATGTGTGTATATATATACAGGCTGAACGTAAACTTTATTTTACTTTTACTTCATATTTCACCGTCTTATTTATATGTGAGAAGTAAAGTGAAGTCCCTATTTTTGTGTGGAAGATAATGAAGCTAGGAGAAATGTTATTTGTTTTAGGAATAAAGTAGAAAGCAATATGGTGCCATTCCCACTTTATAGGAGAGAGAACTGACTATACGAGGAAGGTGGTGTAAATTTTACGTCAGTTTTTGGGATATAAAATTTGTGTTGGCAGTGAGTGCAAATGTGATCATAAAAAGCATAAAATTTGTATCAGTTAAGAGTGCAAATCATACCTAATGAATGCAAATTTTGTATCCAATTTCTAAGCAAACATAGCCAAATTAAATTCCAAACGCACCCAAAACAATTTCTCTGCACAGAACATTTGTCATTGTCGAATGAAACCACGCAAGAGTGATTGTCAAATGAGTTCTACGACCAAAAATGTTAGCTTAAAAAGATGATCCCAATTCCCAATCGTGTGCCTTCACAATTTTCAAGTACACAATGAGAAATAGGACTTAATTATACTTTTATTAAGGCATAACATAAGCAGAGCCTAATAGGATTGAAAGGATGACTTTTTTCAAGAGC